TAATATAATGTGATCATTGGTTATGGTTTTAGCTTGTTTTAGTGCCTCAAAGGCAACCCATGCCAATTTTTCAAATAATGAATATCTATTGGATGCATATGGAAATCTTTTACAAAAGAATTCTATTGGTTGGGGCTTAGTTTTATTATTATAGAGTCCCCATATACCCTAGTCCTATGTGAAAATGATGTCCACAATCATAGTTCCTTTGAGGTTTTGCCATATTCTAAATTCTGTTATATATTGTTTTAATATATCTAAAGCTTTTTGGTGATGTGATTCCCAAATAAAGTCCTGTGATTTCCTTGTTATTGCATATATTGGTTGTAAAATAAGATTTAAATAGGGTATATGGTTGTGCCAATACCTTAATATTCCTATCAATTGTTGTGCTTCTTTCTTATTGGTAGGAGGTTGTAGTCCCAATATTCTATCTATAATTTGATCTGGGACTTGCCTTCCTTCTGCTGTGACCAAAACTCCTAAAAAATTTTACTGTTTGATCTGGTCCCTGTACTTGCTCTCTGTTGATTGTCCATCTTAGTGCTGTCAGGTGTTTAATTACTTTCTCTGACATTTCATGCAAATGTTGTTTGTCATATCCTGCTCTTAAATTACCATCTACATTTGTATATATTGAGGCTTCTTTAATTTTAATATCCTTAAGGAATTCTGATAGTGCAATATGTGCTGTTAGTGGGCTATTTTTGTAGCCTTGTGGTAATCTTTTGAAGTGATACTGCACGGAATTCCATGTAAATGTGGTTATCTCTCTGGATTTTTCTGCTATGGGGATAGCAAAGAACATATCTGACAAATCTATACTTACAAAAAATTTAAAATTGTTGGAATGTATTTGTTGTAATATTGTGGTAATATCTGCCAAGTCTCTTGGCATTTATGGTGTCAGTGCATTGACTGCTCTATAATCTACTGTAAATCTCCATTTACCATTAGGTTTTAAGATAGGCCAAATTGGGCTATTATAGTCAAATGAGATAGTTCTTTCTATGATGTCTTCCCTTAACAATCCTTCAATTTCATAATTATTTCAGTGTGTCCTCCTTTTATTGGGTATTGCTTTGTGAAGCTATGTTTAATTTTATGTAGGACCATGGGGTCCATTAATAAAGAAGCTAGATGTGTCTGAGACTTAGTCATATTATTTTTAAACTTTTTATAAGTTCTCCATGATGGAAAAATTTTAGGTATCAGGACCATTCCTAGGAATGTAAAAGGTGTTTCAGCTAAAAGTATGTTGGTTTTAATGATTTCTCTGTCCCATGAAGGGATAGTTACATTTTTTCCATTTTGCATTAATTTCTATGTTCCCTATTCCTATTATTTTATGATCACCTTGCATAATATTATATGTTAATCCCCAAATAGTTACTTGGCTTCCTGTACCTATTAGGAATTTATATGTTTCTATTTTTCCTGTTTTTTTTTTCTGAGAACATTAAAGGTAAATCTATGTATATTCTATTATCCCCAGGCTGTTCTAATACTGAAAATGCTGTCTGACTCCTGGGTTTCCTTGTCTGTTGAATGCCATTTTCCTGTTGTAAATTGGCATGTTTGCATGCCTGAAGTTGCTGTACTGGTTGGGGAAGTTGTTGTTTTGTGTTCTTGGGTCATCTGTTTGAATAAAATCTGCCTCCTGATAGGAATATCTGTCCTTGTCCTCTGAATGGTGCACTGCTTATGGGCCTCCAGGGTGTGGAACTCCTCCCTGATGGGGCCTTTCATCTGGGAGGCTCCATGTTTACCCAAGGCTGCCTTTGATGTCTGTTGTTATAATTAGGGAATCTAATCTGGTTTTGTGAGGACTGAGCTGGAAAACTGAACTGGCACGGTGAGGGTTGAGTTGGGAAAGAAAAAGATCTAGCACCATCCAGCTCTTTGGCTTCCTTAAAATAAGTAACCACATCTTGTAGTGTATGCATGTCCTGTAATGCTGATGTTAAAGATAATCTGAGATGAGATGGACCACCTCTAATTATTAGTCTTTTCATCTGAGGTAACAGCTCTGCTTGTAATGGCTGTTTCATGTGTGTATTTTATATCATAAAGTATATTCATAATTTCCTAGTTAATTTAATAGCCTGTTGGTGTATAGTCCATTGTATCTGTGATTCAAAACTGCCTATATCTATCATGGGAAATGCCCTCACCCAAGCTAATGCTACCCATTCCAGGATAGTGTGTTCCTGCAATCTTTTCTCACTCGTTTCAGCCACTAAAGATTCATATAAAGATCCATTTTCTACTATAGAGGTTATTGTATGCATTTCATCTCCATTAACTCTAATGGCGTGGGCTCCATGTTCCCACAGTCTGAGTAAAAATTCTACATCTTGCCCCCCTTTCTGGGCAAATTCATCTCTTAATTGCTGCAGCTCTATTCTATTAAAAGTTCTGACTTCAACTTCCTTTTCATTATCACTCTTATCTGAGCCCCACTTCCTTGGTGATTTGGTTACCTTTCATTTAGTTACCGGTAAAACTTCACGATTATCTGGGTGACTTTTTGCCTTTCCAGGGCCTTTCTTAAAGGTTTTACCTTTAGTTCCATCTTCATCTATGTCATTAATAGTTTTAACTAGCAATCCCGGGATTTCTTTTGGAGTGGCTCTAGCAATGATTGGCTGAATTGGGTGGGATAAAGGGATATCAATTCCTTTAGTTCCCTTGTTAAATCCTGGCAGTTTCCCTTGCACTGTTCTCTCTAGTTCTCTCCAGGGACTAGCAGGGCTAAGTTCCTGGTTACTTTTTTTTCTTTTTAAAGATGTTCTTTACTTTCCTCATTTTGTCAATATGCTATAGGCCAATTTAATATACTTTTTTTCCTACAATACTGCACAAAAGATGTGTCTGTGTCTATTTGCTTTAGTGCTTTTGAAATTTGATTTTCAAGGTGTCTGTGTCAGTGTTTTTTCTATCCAGTTCATGTGTTATTGTATATATCTGTCTAGGAAGCAGATTGTGTAGTTTGCTATATGATCATGTATCTGTGTGGTGTTATTACCATTTGATATATGTCTTTGCAGAAGATGTGATGTCCTATTAGGTTTATTGCTATAATTACCAATGTAAATATTATAAATAAGTTTTGCTGTGTTTAGAAAAAGTTTCTGAATTCTATATGTGGTTGTTACACAAGCAGGACAAGACATTTCTCCTAGACATTAAGTGTCTGTTTCCTTGACTGCCTATTACGCCAACTATTGCGAGGGGGCAAAATTGCGACATATGTAGTGGAAGGGAGAAATAAAGAATGTCTACACACTTCTGCCCCTTTTTAATGCTTTATTCACTTTAATTACTCAATACAGTTTCACTCTATAGGTTCTTAATCAAGAAAACAACAATCCTTAATGCTAGGCACTGCAATAGACATAATCAATTCACAGCAAACAATTCTAGATTAATTAATTCCCAGCAAAAAAACCTAGATTAATTCTAAGCACTGCAGAACACACTTAATCATAAAAGGCTAATGACAGACATTCCCTCTGCATGCTAAATTCAAAGGTCTTAAATCTTAGGCTTTGAGATCAGCAGATGCACACTCACTCAGACCTCGGTGACCAGGTCCAGAACTAAGGCAGGCTTTCCTGGTGTGGAGCAGAAGACTGGTTGAGGAGGGTGTTGTAGGGAGGAGCTGTGACTCTCACCAAAGTCCAGAAGAGGCAGTAGAGGTTGAAAGTGGTGAGGATCACACAGAGGCTCAGGAATGATGACAAGTGATGGGATGTCAGGTCCTCAGAAGGCTCTCCAGCTCCAGTGCATCCTTGTTTTGGCTGGCTGAATCCCTGTTCATTTGCTCTATCATTTATACTAAATTTGGGGGCTTTTGACCCCCTTTTAATCCTTATGAGCTACCATTGGATTTTTCAGTGACATTATTTATTCTAGGGTCAGAAACATCTGGTCTGGTGGTCTTGTAAGGGTCCGGCGAACGTTGGAGGAAGAGACCACCAAGAGACCAACTCATGCAACCACAGAAAGGGGTTTATTGAGAATCCAGCGCGCTGGGGCTCCGTGCTCACTCAACAAGGGAGAGCAGCCCAGAGCCCTGAGCAGGGGTTGAGCAGTGCTTAAGTACACTTTTTGGGGAGGGCAGGAACTTTACATACGTCATGGTCCCCTTTAACAAATCATTATACCCCGCGGGAAAATCAAACAATTCCTGCACATGATTAGTACATTCATTGGTGGGAACAGGCTGGGCGTGAGTGATAGGTCAATCCTAAGGAGGGGATACATTTAAACTGATTGGTTTGGGCCCTGAATGCCTACGTGCCAAGCTGCACAGGGTCCTAGGTTATTAAACAACTAAACGGTCAGGGGAAATATCTACTGGGCAGTCCCGGGAATTTTCCTAACAGCTACAGGAATTTCAGGTTTTGGGTGTAGCATAGGAACTTAACAATACCTGGTCCTTTACATTTTAACTCAAGCTTTGCAGCTTAGAAACTTTACAATGCCTGGTATTTTACACTTTAACTTCAATTTCTTTTACTCTTACAGTCTCCATCCTGATCTTCTGGCCTTTCCCTCTTATCAGACGAGGACAGCCTGCCAGAGGCTTCACTCTCTTTTACCAGGGTGAGGGGAAGTAACTTGTTTGAGGCCATTCTGGAGGGATCTGTGGATGTGCCTGGTGAAACTGCAGGTCTTTTAAAATGAAGTTAAAATGGAGTTGCTTAGGCTCAGGCCTAAGGCCATCCTGAGGATTAGTCCCACCACATTCTATAATTGTTAGTGGTATACTTAAAACTGATGCTATCCTTCTTATTAGGACTCTGTGGCCTTATATTTATTTCTAGGCTATTTGGCATTAATATGTGTATATGAGAGATGATATGTAAAAACAATAAGAAAAATAATTTTTTAAAAATCTTACCTTTGAGCCAACTGAGGAAGAAAAATTACTGTGATAGTTCTTTATATTTATTTCCTCCACAGAAGTGGTTTAAATCATGTTTTTCTTTTTAATATCAACATCACAATTTACAGGTAAGGTTTTAAGTTTGGGTTCCTCAGTTTCATTTGTTTCTTCTACAAAAACAAAATCAAAACAGAGAGTACAGAAAAAGCTCCATAATTTTAAATCAGTAATCAGCTCTGCAATAGATACTCTTCAAATATTTTACCATCATTCCTCGATTCATTAGAAGTGTGAGGTAATTCTCCATTTTCTTTTGGGATATCCTAGGAAGGAAAAATATTTAGGTGTAATATGCACCAAATTTGAAAAATTAGCTTAATATTTTCCATTACTGCAGGATACAATAGAAGAAGAACATGTTTCTGAGCCATTCCAATGTAAACTCAATTTAATCTTGCCACTTACTAAGCTATGTCTGCTCATGGGGTGAGGATGATGAGAGATCTCCAAAATGTTATTCCCGTTACCTACAAGATAATTTCACAAATACTGACATCCATTAAATTATTTTATTAATCCAAATGACCTAGGAGGAAATTGGAGTCATCCGTAGTTTAGAATGCTTTTGAAAAAAACATTTTTAGAAATTTAAAATAATTATGTGTGATATTTTTAATGTGTTTTGTGACTTATATTGGCATAAATTATCTCTTGAGGGAAAACATGAGACCCAAGCTTAAAGAGTATCTTATAAATAAAACTGTTAGAAATCACAAACAGAATGAGTTCTGTTCATCTTGTGTGTTAAATAGCTAAAAATACATGTTAATATAAATGTTGAGCCTTCCAAGATAGAGAAGAATGACAAAAAAAACCTTGTGGGGGCAATATCATTGAATGAAAACCTCACAGTTACTAAATGGAAAGATTAACCAAATAACCAAAGAATGGAGACAGAGATGACTCAAAGAACATACAATGAAGAGA